AGCCACAACATGGGAGAAGTCTCCCTCAAGTCAAGAAAGGCCGACCCTACCCTAAGACTTGCTCTTCAGTGGAAGGAGCAGCTTTGGTACGAGGGAGGTGAGAGACACCTGACTGGGGGGGTCAGTGCCCAGGGACCCCTGTACATGTCATCCTGACCATCCACAGCTAGGCCCCAGTATAAGCCAGAAGCGGCCTCTCCAGGAGCTTCAGAGCAGATGCCTGTGTGCTCCTCAGCGCCCTGTGCATGGTCTCCTAAGGGAAGGAGGCATCCCCCACCTAACCCCCACCCCCTGCCGCCGCCCAGCTGGCCCCCCGGAGCTCTCCAGAAATTGCAAATCCAAAGACAGGACTTGCTGGTGAGCTGACCACCCGCCTGTGGTTAATGAATAAGTAATAGGGCCAAATTACAGTCGTAGCCATCCATTTCCAGCAGCTGAGCTCTGCCTTCAGCTACAGACAATGCTGCTGCTGCCTTTCATCCTGGGGCAGCAGAAGGCACTTCAGGCAGCGCTGGCAGCCTCTTCGAGATTTCATTAGCGGGTGAGTGAAAGGAGCCAGCCTTCCCCAGCAAGGCAGACACCCTACCCCACAGTGGCGGCAAGCAGCAGAGGGTCCCTAGCGAGGCCCCAGGCCACCAGGAGTCAGAGTCAAGGACTTCCTGGTCCTTTCTCAGGACGCCTGCACCCTTCAAACAATGCCTTACACACCTTCCGGAAAAGAGATGGGATCCAGAGGGGAGACCAGGCCATAGAAGGATGCTGGGAGCATCTCAGTCCTGGAAAAGCAGGGCGGGTATGTGGGGTGGAGTGGGGATTCAGGGGCACCAGGGGAGGGAGTTGTCAAATTCCACACCCACACCCACACCCCTCAGTACTTTGGGTCCTCAGCCCTGGAGAGAGGCACTCACGTCCCCTCCCTGGGCTGCATGAGCCCAGGTATCCTCAGCAGGACAAGCCCCCTCCTCCCCACCACTCCGCCGCCACGTCTGGACAGGACATGGCCAAGTCGCAAAGGTTCTCAGAAGCGCCCCCCACTCTGCACCCCTCCCCATTGGTCGCCACCCACACACGCCCTCGAGGCTCGGAAGTCATGGCTCTCGCTTCAAAAGGGCCCCATAATTTTGGGAGCCAAGACTCCAAATGGAAACAGATTAGAACTTTAGAAGCCTCCTGATCGTGTTGCCAAGAATTGAGGAGGGAAGGGCACGGAACCTCTGCCCTGGTGACAGGCTGACCACTGGCACCAGAGCAGCCGGCCCTGCAGGTGAGGGGCGGTGGTTCCCTGAGCGGCTTGGTTGCACTATCTGCCGCGGGGTTTTCAAAAGCCATCAGATACGAACGACTTTAAAGCAGGCTGAGGAGCTGAAGGTCAATCGTTCAGTCTTGTGGGGTTTGCTTGCAAAGGCCAGGTAATCCCATCAGCCAGGCTCTCTGTGCCCCACTGAGTGGGTTGTCAGTGCTGCATGCAGCCACAAGCGATCAGCCACAGCCATTCCCACAGCCATTTGAGGCTCAGGCCCTGGGGGGCTGGGAAGGGGGCCAGCAGAGGAAGGAAGAGGCCTATGTGGCCACAGAGGAGAGCAGGGAGCCCCTTCCAGCTGAGAACACCTACCTGGCAGACCCACCTGCACCCTGAGGCCATCCATGCTGCGCTGATGTGAAATTACTCCCCAGGGCTCGCCTAGCCGTTGTCCTTGTAAGATAGGGTGTGTGACACTCTACCATGGGGATTCGGATGTTTTACTATTTCACTGGATTTAAAATGAGCCATTGGTGAAGCAGGCTCATTGTGGGAGCTCCCTCGACCATCAACAACGAAGAGCCAGAAGTGAGGGCTGTGGAGCCTGAGATACCTACACGCAACCTCCCTGGTCCAAGAGGCTGAACTGTGAGTGACACCAGAGGTGGGACCAGCAGTAACAGCAAGAGCACGGGGCAGAATGGCAGATGCCCAGCCTTTGGGCAAGAGGCTTGTTGGCCATGTGCACAGCAGCTTAATCCAGATACTCAATGTGGGGTCGCTCACTCACTGTCATCCAGTTGGCTCTAACTCATAGTGACCCAGGGTAGAACTGTCCCTGGAGTTTCTGAGACTAGAGCTCTTCACAGGAGTATAAAGCTCCACCTTTCTCCCTAGAAGCAGCTAGTGGTTTCAAACTGCTGACCTTGCTGCAGCTCACAGCCCAATGCACAACTACCAGGCCAACAGAGCTCCTTCTGAGGTCACTAGGAGTCAGAATCGATCTGATGGCAGTGTCTGGTTTGAGTTTTTAATCCAGGAGACATCTCAAGGAGCCAGAACTGAGCATCTTTGGGTGGAGGCTTCTGGCGGAGTGGTGTGCACTTTGGGCATTTATCAGCAGCTCGGAAGGGTCTTCACTTGCACAAGCAGGGCCATGTAGACAAGGGGCTGAGGGCCAGAGAGAGAAGAGGCATGCCTGCCGGTGTGGCTGAAAAGTGGCATTCCTTATCAGCTGTCTCTGATCCTGAATCAGAGCCTGTTAATTGCCCTAATAAACCCCCTCATCATGAGTATTGTCTATGACTTCTGTGTGGCCACTGCGATACATTCTTGGTCCCAAGAGGAGCTGTGGGAGCGTGTGGAAGACACGGTGGAGGCTGGGGCAGGCCTGACCCTGGCACCACAGGGCTCAGCCTGGAGTCGGTGTGGAGGTGCAGTCTCTTTCCGCGTGGTATGATCGGAGATCAGAGGTGGGCCCTACGCCATTTTTACACAGGTCTAACTGTTGGTACAGATAATCAACTTGCTCAGCAAAATGGGAAGGGACTGAAGGAGGCCTTTTAACGGCCTCTCTGGAGCCCAGCTGTGGCCTTGGTGCAGCATTATTTCTGTATTAATGGAGATTATGCGCCAAAATGCCAACTGCTAACAGCTGTTCCCTGGCCAACCAGAGCCTAGGTTTTAAATCCTCCAGTCAAGTGCCATTTGGCTCCCAGATGGTGGCTGTAGGGAGACATGCAGAAGCTGGCTTGGTTTTCCACTGGACTGAGTCCTCTCCTCCCACATCTCACAGGATGTCGCCCCTCACCTGCAGGCATCTGCTGAGCGGACAGCAGCACTTCCTGACAAGGGGACCAGCAGAAGAGGGCAGCACTCAGACTCCTGCCGCCCTCCAGCTGAGCCCTTGATCAGCCCTTCCCTGCAGTCTCTTTCTGCCTGGATCAGCAAGTAGTGGGTTTCTCCTCAGGCTTGGAGCCAGGAGCAAGGCTCGAGGGCAACCTAGTCAAAACCTGGCCCCAGAGCCCAGAGCCACTTGGCACCCACCATGGCCCTGGCTACTCCCTGGACATGCCACTGCCAAGAAGAGCTGAGGCCACAGCGCTGCTCACTCGATGGAGAAAAGGATTCTAGGAGTATCCTCTTACTGAGACCAGATCTAAACTCTTACCAAAAAATCTCCATCCCTGGTCGCTGCAGTTCCTGGGCTTCAGAACAAAAGGTGATGTGTTCTGCCAAGGCCGGTCTCCGGGCCTGCGTGGGCCACACCAACACACTGGGCCTCGGTTTCCTATTGGCATAGGGCACTAAGACCTTTTTTTTTTTTTTTTCAGGACAGGCAGGAATCTAAGAAAGACCATGGCAGGGTGGAGAGGCAAGAGTTGGGGGAGGTGGGTGCCACCTTCTCCGAGAGCAGCTGGGTCTCGGATCCCCTGGCTTAGACGGGGTGATGGGGTGGAAAGGGGCCTAGGACGAAAGGACTAAGAACCTGGCCCGGGGAAAGCGTAGGTTCTGATTCGGTTCAGCTGGGATGGAGGACAAACTCTCAGCAGAGGACTGAACGGAATGACCTAGTTAGAAACCCTGGGTGCAGAACCCTGCCCCCACATTCTATTCCCACCATGATGGCCAAGCTTCGTAAAAGAAATGGACAAAGAGGGTTAAGGATGTGGGGGATGGGGATGCACGGTGGCCTTGCCACTTCACTTTATGAAGCTAAAGATAGACCGACCAAGGGACCCAGCGATTCCACGCCTGGAACGCATCCAGAAGACTTGAACGGCCAGACGCAAACGGAGCCATGTGCACCAATGTTCCCGCAGCACTGTCCACAACAGCCAAATAGTGGAGCCACCGAAATGCCCCTCAACAAGAATAACGAAAATGTGGGCCAGGCCACAATGGAGTACCAGTCAGCCAGTTGGAGAAAGGAAGCCTCCCCACATGCTGCAGTGTGGATGGAGCTTGAAGGTATTGTGCGGAGTAAAACCAGTCAGCCACCAAAGGGCAACTATTTTATGACCTCATTCATAAAACAAAAAAAAAGAGGCAAGGTAAACATACAGAGAACAAATTGGATTCGTGGTTACCAGGGGCAGGAGGGAGAAGTGGAAGGGGGTGTGCGAATCAGGATGAAAAACTCTATTGATTAAGGGTGGAAGTATACTGCTCATCTATGGGATTGTTGTCAAAAACTGTACACTGATAAAAAGGTAACGGGCAAAAGCTGTGGGTGCTAAGATATATTTCCAACAACCACCCCCAGCCTCCCCTGCACCCCCCACCCCAAAAGGGGGAAAAGAGAAGGATAACTGTGTGGCTGATTAGGTAAACCACACACCTCGGGGGATTTGATGCCTGCGTCTGGCCGGCCTCACCCGAGGGCCTTCGGCTGCTCTCCCTGGCCGTAACCAACCCCACACCTCACAGGCCGTGCAGGCCACACCTGGGCCCTGGGAGAGGCCACTGGCTCTCAACACAGCAGGCCACAGGGACAACGGCCTGAGGGGGAAGAGGGAGGGGTCTAACCGATCAGGTCAGGGCTAGTAACCCAACTGCTGCCGGAGCTCCCACTGAGCTCCCAACTGTGGCTCTGCCTCGGGCACCCCGCTTCCCAACCAGAGTCCAGCTCAGGCTCAGAGCAAGGCAGTCCATTGGCCGGGCCACTGCCCACCCCTCTTTCCCAGCCGTGTCCCCCACCCCACAGCACCCAGCTGGCCGGTGACAGGCAGACCCAGTAACTGCATGGAATGCTACTTACTTTCCCATCCAAGTGGCATGGCTGGCAGGAAGCTTGGGCATGAACAGCGTTGACTTTCCAGTGTTGATGTCGATTGTGCCATAGAAGCCTGGCTCGGTGACACCAAATGCCCAGTGGAAGAAGGACTCCTGGGCAAGAAGGAGAACCCAGTCATGGGCACTGGGAGAGAGCAAAGAACCCCGGGTATTCCTATCTGTACCTCGGAGAGCCTGTTCTTCAGAGAGGCTGACCCCAGTCTCGCCTCCCCCACCTGGTCCTTCTACCTCCCTCCCTCCCCTGCCTCATCCAATTCCTAGGCTTTACCTAACACCCTGACCCGCCTCACTACCCCCAGCCCCTTCCCCCACTGCCACCCGGCATCCCCAACGGCTCAGTCTGCTGCTCCCTGTGTATCTAACAGGCTGCCCATCTTTTCCCTCAGTGAATTGGCAGTGGGTAAGCAGTCTGTGTCTCCCCTAGCCTGACTTAGTCTACTCTCATGGTATGGGTTTCCCACCCGAGCCCAGCCTCACCCCGACATGCACTGCACCCACCTCAGGTGGAAGACCACAACCTGGGAGCACCAGGACATAAGCACCCCCCAGCAATCTGAGGTCCACCTCAGCCCAGCCTGGGGCTCTCTGCCTCCCCTGCTGCCCTCAGGCAGGGAGGACAAGCGCCTTGATCCCCGCCCTCAATCCATTCATCCATTTCAGAGTCCCAGGGGCAGCAGGTGACGTCACTGTTCAGCACTGAGTGTGGAGCTAAAATAACTTTACAGAGGAGAAGTTCTTTGGTCAAGGAGCTAAGATCCGAATTAGGGAAACGGCTTTGGAAGCACAGGACATGCCAACCTCAGGAAGCATCAAGCCTCTTCAGAAGCATCTCTGCAGCCAGTCACTCCGTGAGTGATGGGCTGGCAGGAGTGGGCTCCCAGCGGCCTGAGACGGTCGTGGGAAGGGGTCCTGCAGGCAGGAAGTGCCTTCAACAAGCATTCAGCTGTCTCTCTGCGGGTGTCTATCTGTGTGGATATAGCCCGGCCAGGGGACCACCTCTGCTGCCTCATCTCATGCCTATCTCTCCTCCTCCTGCTGCTCTGGACAGCGGTCTGCCTGCAGGGGCTAGGGCTCCCCTGTGGCCAGGCCCCAGCTCTGGGAGTGCAGACCTGTTACATAATCTGTTGTCAATTGGAGACTTAAGAGTGAAGGGGTGCAGTTTAGCTTGTCAATCAAGTCGCAGCTTGATGACCTCATTTGGAGGCGCTAAGGAGATAAATAGCTCACTGGAGGCAGGACACAGGCTCACTCCCTGGGAGACGTTCCTGTTAAGAAGACACATGGAGGGAGCTACACTAGAGTCCTGGAGCTGAAGGAGCCACGTGGAGACCCCTGCCAGTGCTGAGATGCTTTTACCGCCACTGGATCCATACAACCTTCTACACACTGGCCTGTGATCTTCCTGCATTTGGCATTATTGCATGGCTGCATGAGCCTAAAGAGGAATTTAAGGACTAGTATTGGATATATGGGCTAATATTGGACTAATGGACTTGATCTGGACTAGGCTGGGATGTTTTCTTAAAGTATAATTACTCTTTTATATAAAGCTATTTTCTTATATACATGAGTGTCTATGAATTTGTTTCTCTAGTCTACCCAGACTAACACAAGACCAAAACTCAAACTCAAGCCCAAACCCAAGGGCACAAAGTCTATTCGACTCCCGGAGACCCTATATAGGGTTTCTAAGACTGTCCATCTTTTCTGGAACAGACAGCCTCATCTTTCTCCTGAGCAGCAGCTGGTGGGTTTGAACTACCAATCGATGCCTAACCCACAGCCACCAGGCTCCTTCTGGGTGTGGTGGGCACTGTGGCAGCAGTCCTGACATAGAACCCCCCCTGTGTACAAGAGGATGGAGGGAGAAAACGGCACTGGGCTTGCGGTGAGAAGATGTGCTTCTAAAGGCCCTCAGAGGCCATGCCCCCTCAGTTTCCCCCTCAGAAAAATGGGCACCACACTAGGGAGGGATAAGACTCAGCGTATCCCTGGATGGGGACCTAGGGACCAAGTGGTGGCACATCCATCTGAAACTGACCTGAAACCCCACCAAGCTCCAGAACCCCAAGGAGTCTCAGGACCAGCCCCAGTGAGGAAACCCACGCCAAGTGAGGGCTGCCGGCCCAGTGCTGGCCAGGTCAGGGCAGGGCAGACTGGGCCTCCGGCTCCTGCTCCATGCCTAGACAAGCCACCCGGCCACACACCCCTGCTAGGCCCCTGCTCCTCACTCACCCGCATCACTGCAGGCAAAGTCCTTCCCAGGGGCTGGACCTTCCCCCATCGGGCCTTCTGCTCCTGCTCCAATGTCAGAACTCACCCCGGGTGGTCTCTAAGGCCCACACCCAGTACTATTTCTCCATGAAGCCTTCTTCTTGCTCCCCAGGTATCATCTCTCTGCACCCTGGGGGAGAGCTGGGGCTGCAGAGAGGCAATGGTG